ACTATTAGTTCTTATTTGTTTAATTTAATTCCCTTCTTAAATACTACTAGTCTTTCTAATTTTGAAAATTCATTTGCACTTTTTAAGACTTTTTCATTTGTTTTCTTTGCAAGCTTTTCTCTACAGGAGGAATATGTAGTGTTTTTATTTACTGAAATTTTGATATTGTGACACCTTTGAAAGAAACAATTAATTTTGCATACTTTTTAAAATTTAATGCAAATAAAATATATTTACAATTTAGCAACAAATAAAATACATTAACATGTACTAATAACAGTAAAATAAATAATGCATTTAAAAAAGTTAATTGCAAATAAAATTAAAATATGTTAGCCTTGCAATAGATCCGATTGTCTTACCAAATTCATTTAAAAACACCTTCAGAAAATATCTATTGATCTATGAATATCTTTATCTTTTACACATTCCTTAATGACATAGATATGCACAGGGAGGGGGCTGGCTTCCCAGAAAATTTTGAAAGGGAAATACATAAGGAAATACATTACCTTATGTATTAAAACATTGTATTACTGTATATATGTTTAAACCCTGATTTTCCCTTGTTTACAAACACCTGCCAATTTGGGGACATACGAGGAAGAGATTTTTCCAAGCCATATAGCAATTCTATAAATGCATCAAATAAAATCCTGTGTATGTATTAATTTATCATTAAAGTTATATATTCTTTCTCCTTATATAATTATTTAATTATATAGGGCCCCTATACATGAGCATTGCATTCCTGTATGATAATTACCATGTGACATAGAATAACATATTTTCTTACGCAACACCACACAAAAGTGCTTTGGCTGTTCTGCGTAAGATACAGTACTAATCTACAACATGTGTTAATTATAGAGCATCGACATAACACTCGTGTGACAGAGGTTTTACTTGTTAAATATGTCATCACAATTTTTAACTTCATTTAAAAATGTTTTATGTTGTGGTTATTCATTGAACTGCCTTCTTTATTCATAATTTGTAGAATAAAATATTTAAAGGTACAATTAAAAATTTGCTGATCCATAACTGTTTTTTAGTACACATTAAAGTATTCGTACATTTCTATTTTTAAGCTGTATGCAAGAATTCTGTTTTCATTGTGTGTATTATATGACTTAGTGTAATGTATTTTTGTGTTTTTATTTACAATCAGAAGGATAATTAATTTATTGTATCTTTGGATTCTATTTCTTTTGTTAGAAATGTTCAAAGACAGAATAAAGAAATAAATGGCACAAGATAGTCATTGATGCACTTAAAGAATTTGTTATGAATGCTCATTATTTTATTTGATTAATAGTTAATGTGTCTTTCCATTGAGCATTAAACCCCATATGAAATTTCTATCAGCCAAGAACTTGTACTGAGCAGGGGATTTTCTGGCTCACTCATTTATTATATGAAAAATCCCTGAGTTAAAATGAAATAAAATTATTGTTTTACAAATAAAATCGCTGAGATAATTGAATAGCTGAAACAAAATTATATTTAATGTAATGAACTCAAAGAGATAACTGGAAGAGTAGTTTCATTACTGTGTGTATTCAGTTATTAGCACAGGTGTCTCAGACAAGAAAATTTTTGAGGGAGAGGCATCAAATGAAGGAATTTAATGCTGGTACCTCTAAAGGCTTTTAGTTTAATCATAACTTTTAATTGTTTTTTTTAAGTTAACTTGCTGAATGAGGTAGTTTACAAAAATCAAGTTATATTGCAACAATTCATGAATTCGGTATCATACTCCAACACTAAACATTGAAAACTATTCAACATAAAAAATAATTACAAATGTATTGACAGAGGCAAAAATGAATTACCTCAAACTGTATTACATACAACTAATTTTGAAAGCCAATAAGCCAATGAATTACTCTGCAATGGTCACTGTCTGTAATAAATTTGGTTACTGAATAGTTTGGGAAGGTCCAGTAAATCTTGGTACATCTTGATGTGTGTATTCACAAATTTCTGTACGATGCTGTTACTTAATAAGATCACTGGTGAGGAAGATACCTTCTAATAAATAAATAAATAAATAAATTATTAAATGAGAAAATAGTTCTATTAATTTTCTTTATTTACTACAAGGTACTAAAGAGCAGAGAATGTTACTTTCCTGTATTTCCCAAAAAAACCTCCCAGCATATTATCCTCATAACTATACATAGGTGTTCATCTTACCAACTTACCAATGTTTGAAACAGTGCATACTTACTCATAGACAAACACACCAGATTATCATTCAGAAATCACAACATTATGTTATTAAACGAAAATGAGCTTGTTTTTCAATTTTTCTTGTACGTAGTGAAGAAGTTTATTGTGGAATCTGTCAGGGGGCATTTCTGACCCCAACCGCATAAGAATGAAATGACTATGAACCAAGAAAACTTAAAAAAATTGAAAAGCTAACAACACATGTAAAATTGGACACAAATAGCATATCTAAAAAGAAATGTTCATGTGAATAATTTTCAAAGAGTTGTGGATGATTAATTGCACGTGGGGGCAGAAATTACCCCGAGTCTAATGATTCAAGAAGAAATATATAATATCTCCAAGTTTTATTCTACTAATTTTTCCTTTTTTTCTATTATTCAATATTTTGTACTATCTCTATAATCTAATGCTTTTATATTTTATTAGATGCACAGATTTTTCTTTTTGTGAGAGATATAATTGGATCATTTGTTATAATTTTCCCTTCCTTCTTCCTGAAGAATGAAATTTTTCAGTTCTTCTCATGGAAAAAATAATAAAATGAAATGAATATGATAGAATGTGAAATACAAAGTGGCTGGGATACATATTCTAGACAGAGTTGCAATTAAATCTTGTCCACTCAATCTAAGAGACAGATTTGCCAGAACACCCAACATTCCATTGACTCTGACCATGGATATCTATGTTTCAACATTAAAAAAACAAAAAAAACGTTGAATCAGAATCAACAGAGTGATGAAAAGAGAGGGTTCAAATTTTTTAGATATTTGCACACAGCAATGGTGACTGCATTTCATATTTTCAGATTTTTTCCTAATTGTTGGTTGATTGAATAACATTTTTCTCACTTTTGTTTTAAAATATTTTCATTGAAACATTTTACTACAAATTTTCGCATTAAAATACATGGAATAAAAGAACAGGGAATTAATACACGTGTTAATAGATAATACTTATGAAGAATAGAGATGAATTTGAATTTTTTCAATAAATAATATATATTTAAGGCCATGAAAGGTTATTCAAACTTGTCTGTACGAAAAAGCTAATAGCTTACTTCTTCTAAAACAGTTGTCAAAATAAAATATGTTTTGCAGAGGAATGATTATTTTCAACGTACATATAATTTATGCCAATACTAGTTCCAAGTTTCATAGAGTTATGAAACTGTTCCTTGCAAGCCACATGCTATTGCAATAAATATTCCGTACTATGAAATGTATCATTGTGCATGATCATGGTAAAATCTAAAAATTTGAATTACACTTTGTGTAATTTTAAAGTTGTAATACTAGTTTATAGTCCTTTGGAAACTAGTGAATTTATCAATATGAATTGATTATGAGCCATTAAAATCATGGACTTCTCAGAGCTTAACTTTCTCAATTACATACTCTAAGAAAATATTAAGCTAAATGGGAAAGGTGTGATGTATTTCAATTTTAAAACATTTGAAATTGTTTTGTTGAAATGTTGAAGTGCAAATGTAATGTATAATGTATCATATAAAGTAATAATGAATTTAAATATAGTTATATTCATTGTTACTTGATTTGGACTCTCCTTAAGCCTGTTTGTTGTTCTGATCTTAAAATTTCAGGACACTGTCTTAAACTTACTATGAATTTAATCATTTTAAAGTAGCATTGTTATTGGAATTACAGAACATTTTTTTCAAAGTTTTTCACATGAATTTAGCAGAATTTGATTCATGTTTATATTTTTTACATAATTTGTCTCTATAAAAAATTTATGGACTTCCATTAACTGTTCAATTATGTGAAAGTCTATATTAACCATTGTAAGTCACTCCTATTTAATTCCCATTTTTTTATTATTTTGTTTTTAATATTTATTTATTTAATTTAATCTTTTAAACTTTTCTTCTTTTCTTATATGTGTCCTACTGCTTTCTTGTATATGTTCTAATCTACTGAATTCATTATTTGAGTGTAGGTACTCGAGTAGCCTCAAATTACTCTTTCCTCTTGTTCGCCTTGACTGTTTTCTTTATTAAATTGCCTAGCAATACTCCTAAATTCTCAGGTCTACATTATTTTACTATGAAAATCAAATCTTCTCGGCTTCTCAACGTTCCTATTTTCCAGAGATGGGGTTATCCGCATGACTTTCCAAAATAAGTTTCTCCTCTGTAATCCTATAAGTTAAAAATATTCACATTTCTACCTGGAGTAAAATGATATGTAAAATATACAATTAGAGATACCATTTCATTTCCAATAAAATGCTTAAGTTGAAACATTCCAGTAATTAAGGAAAATAGCTAGTTGTTATTGACTTTCAAATAAGGTTATTCAAAAATATTTTCAAGTGAGCAAAATTCTGTTAAAAAAAATCAACAATTGTCATGTCAATGTCAATGATGGAAAATTAGAAAATACAGATTCTTCTACTAGAAAAAAATACAATTGAAATAAAACATAATATTGTCTCATTACAGGTAAAACAATTTATGTCCAAAAATTTTCAATTTTGAGTTATTTGGTATTTCTGCTTTGAGTTGTATTGAATTTCAGACTAGATATAGTCCCTACACAATTGAAAATACATTTTATGAATTTCGAGAAATACATTTAGTACATATGAATGTATAAAAAGCAGAATGGTATAAGTGACCTTTTTTCAAATTCTGAGAACAACATGTTTATTTTAATTTAAGTGACAATGTATTTACATGGTTTTAATGAACTATTAAAATGCTTAGTTTTAATGATGAAACACAGCACCACGACTTTATGGTGACATCGACTTAAATAAACCGATTTCTCAGAATTTATAAAATGTCACTTATACCGTTCTGGTTTTCACCCGTTTATATCTCATAATTTTCCAAAGAAGAGAAATCTATTAAGGGACTTAATGGGTTCATTAGGTTTAAAAACAATTTATTTTAGCAAAGAAACATGTCCAAGAACCATGACTTGGAATCATGACTTGGTGTATTCCTTGATTGAACACGGAATGTGCACTAACACAGACATGTTGGTGCAGGTCTTCAGTCAAATAACTTAATGAAACTTCTTTGTTCTTTTTCAGTTATAGAAGTGAATTTGTTTAATGCACTTCCAGAGACTTGCCTGTTTATGTTTACAGTCTAGTTGTGTTTTAAAACTTTGTTTTCCACTATTTTTATTGTTTTTTATATTAAACCTGTGAACTGAAGCAAGATTTTCAACTTCTGTCGAGAATTTAAAACTTCCTTCTCAAAAAAAGGTGTAATTAATTTGAAAAGCTTTCTAAAATATAAATAATAATTTTTAGTAATTATGGACTAACTTACAAATCAATCTATTGTTAGCTTGCAAATACCATATTTGTAATATGTAATTTTTTAAATTTTTAACGTTCCTTTGAAAATGAAGAACAGCAAGCAGAAGTAACAACATTAATATTACATTAGGTTTGTAAAGGATGTAAGTTGCCTTCATCAATTACTATAAAGGATGTTAAGGTTAGCGATGGTGCTTTAGAAGAAAATGATAAAATTTTGTTTAGAAAAATAGAGATTGATTATTATCACAAATTGTTAATTATTACTGTTCTTAAAGTTGTATCCATAATGTTTGTTTTAAATGGATTCCATCCACTACATTAATAAAAATGTAAATTATGTATGAAAATTATTTGTGTCACTTAAACCTCTTACCTAGCATTTAAATAAAGTGAAGATAATTCAATAACAAAGGAGCTTTCAAAATCTCTCATGACTGAAGGTGATGAAACAATTAGATTATCTTCATTGGTAAAATCCACTATGTCACAATTTTCATAAATGAATATAAATTAATGCAATTTCAAATTCAAATTAAATGTAACAAAAAGTAAACTAATAAAAACAAGTTCAAAACACTACATTTGTATTAAAACTAACTTTTTTTTAAAGTCAAATCACTTTCCCAAAGCATTTAAAATGAATGTGTGTTTTCTCCATACTTAAATTCTTAACTTGATGTGTTTCACTTGTAAAGGGATGAATAAAAGGATAAAAATAATTTTACTTTTGTTAATAGTTTACTACTTTTATTATTACCAACTGTGAATAAGATGCAATTACATGGTCTTCTTTAAACTTGATTTGGGTCTTACTGTTTGGCTTCTACCAAAAGTAAATAAAGCTCACAATATGAAATCGTTTTATTTTGGTGCTAATTATTACACCTGAAAAAGAATTATTGTCTGTTTTAATTCTGATTAATATTTGCACCTTGATTGCAGTAATTGATTTCTAAGAAATCTCTTTTCAAAATAATCTTTTAATTAGGACATACAAAAATGTCATTATATTTCTAGCGAACAGGGAGAATAAAACTGATTATTCTTTGTTGTGAAATGTTAAAGTTTCTGCAATTATTAATGGTGTATGAATGTAAAGAAAAAAATTTCATTACAAGTTGTAAATATGAATTTGATTTCCATATTATTCCAGTAAAAAATATTCACAAAATATTTGTCTAAAATAATTTAAACGTATTTTAAAATTATGAGATGATATTTTTGTGGGGTTTAGTGGCCATTCCTAGGTAAAGGGTTAACTCAATTAAGGATTCTAATTACTCAGCAAGTCATGGCTTTCCTAAATGAAAGGAAGCCTTCATACAGGTCCGTCAGTTTGTACTCTTGTTTTCTTTGCATTCTGATTAAGCAACGATAACTCTCTAGATTTCATTTCGAGCATACTATGTGAAATATAAGATCCTTGGAGATCCCTGTCAGACAAACCATCTGGACACAGCGTTACTCCATGGTAATTACACTGTGACCTTTGGCGTTTCATTGGTAATTGCCGCGTAGGGTGTGAGGTGGTATGACGAGTGGCAACTTTTGAAACAACCCTGGTGACGCAGTCCGGGTGGGAAGGGGGGCTAGAAGAGATACACACTAGCCGGACGCCCCCCTCCTCACGCACACGTTGCCGCCGGGAACGGTGCGGTCCTTGACGAAGCCTGCGTTGCACAGGCAGAGGTTGGGGCCGGAGCACACCGCGTTGACGCAGCCCTGCGGGCAGTTGGCAATGCAGCGCATTCCGCGCAGGTCCAGCGGGTCCTTGCGGTGGCCGGGCTTGCACGTGCACACCTGCGACAACACCAACGCACTGGCTCATTCGTGGTTGAAATACTGAGAATCACTACTAGATGATACTTGATCCTCAGTCCAGCAAGTCGTGAAGTAGATCTTATATTATTCTACAAAAAACTCTGAACTTTATATTCCACGTTTAACTAAAAATTCACAGATGGGTAAAAACATACAGGTAAAGGCACTCTGAAGACAGACACAGTGTTTTAAAAACAAGTGATTACTGTTAAAGAATTTTCGATGTCTGCCCACGAACAGAAACTTCATTGATTCATGTTCAACATTCATCGGCTAGAGAAACCAAAGACTTGAAGGCGGTATAAGGTAAAAGGTAAATTACATAATTTACCATCATGAAGAGAAACAAATTCACACACAATTAAAGTACCACAATACTTTCTTGAATGCTACATTTGTACACAATCGAATAGAACATTAACAAAGAATTTTCTGTGCGCACATTTGTACACAATTGAATTAACGAAAAACTTTCTGTGACATTTGTAATTTCTTCTCAAAACTTACAAGCCACATGCTGTCCATGTGCTACTTATTGGCTGATAGTTAGGAGAAGCTCAATGTTATACCCTTCTTTGCATCATGGCTAGTGGCACTACCAAGGGTAACAATTAAATAGATGGATTCCAAAACGCATCAAGTCCGAATTGTATGTATTTATTTGAAAAGCGTTTTTATTCTTTCGAATAAATAATTAAGCTCGATTTGAAAAAGAAAATAGATTTTTGACCTCAACTTAACGATTAAGTACTTTTTGTAAAGTATTTTAGCTCATTGGTCGCATCTCTGACTAAATCTGTAATAACCACAAACTTAAAGACCTTTTTTTTAAAGTGTGTTTTGGAATCCATCTCTTCAATGTGGGCTATCAGGATTCCGTCGTCACAGACAGTATTCCCGAAAAGTTGAAGAGCGCGCGTGCGTTACCTCTGGGGCGGTGCAGTCCGCGTTGGCGCAGCCGAGGCTACAGCGCGGCGCGCAGCTGCCGGCCTTCAGCTCGTAGCCCACCTTGCACGTGCACGTGTCGGGCGCCGTGCACGTACCGTTGGCGCAGCCACGTGGGCAGTGCGGCGTGCAGCGCGTCGTCGAGTTGCCCTCCAGTTTGTACCCTGCGGGAGGAATTACACGACTTGTGTGTATTGTCATTTCACTACTACATTCAACACAAACGCCTTGCTACAGGGATTCAAAGTTTTTCTTGCTCAAAACTGTGGAGAGGAAACAATCCTCTTGTAATTAGTAACTACAAATTAACTTTAAATTAAATACAAATGTCTCATCCGGGGCCAACCTGCATATCGGCTACCTGAGGTTTTCCAACCACGTATATCCCACCACTTTGGACAAGCTCGAAGCATCCGGCTGGTTTCCCGGCATGTGTGATAGTGTAGTGCATGCAGGTGTGTGCGTAAGTAAGGCGTAAAGATATGACAAGGACGAGGAAGAAAAGATCTCGCGCAGCCCGTGTCCTGTTTTCAGGGTACTGCTTTGGCATTTGCCTGGCGTTGATTGGAGAAACCACGGAAAACTGCCGATCAGAGCAGCCGGTCGCTAGAATTCTCCTCCAGACAGTGGCTGAATTCGACCTAGTTATTTAGCTAGCGTCGAAAATCCTGCCACCGTCAAGAGTAGAACCATAGGACCTTCCGGTCATTGGCACTGTGCAGGGCTGGTCAGTCCGGGTCCAATCTGGTCAGCCACGGTTGGGTCGAGTCAGCCACGGTCGGGTCGGGTCGGGTCGGGTCGGGTCGGGTCAGTCACGGTCAGGTCAGGTCAGGTCAGGTCAGGTCAGGTCAGTCACGGTCAGTCACAGTCAGGTCAGGTCAGGTCAGGTCAGGTCAGGTCAGGTCGGGTACGCTGTACATGCTATCAACTTCGGTAATCCCACGACTCTGTTCGTGCTATCCAGTGTAGGGTGCCTACCTTTGCGGCAGGTGCACACCCCGGGCGCGGTGCAGTCCCCGTTGAAGCAGCCGGCGCTGCCGCAGTCGGGCTTGCACGGCCCGCCGCCAGTCGTGTTGCGCGCGTCGAAGCGGTAGCCCGCGTTGCACTGGCACACGCCCGGCGCCGTGCACAGCCCGTGCGCGCACCCGGCGGGGCAGTGCGGCACGCACGAGTGGCGCCCGCGCGCCGGGTCGGGGTGGCGCGTGTAGCCCGTCAGGCACGTGCAGTAGTCGGGCCCCGTGCACGAGCCGTGCTCGCAGCCGCCGGGGCAGTGCGGGATGCACTCCTGATGGGACACAGAACAAAAGCTCCCTGGTACATTCGGAATGCGCAGTTACATAATGAACTTGGCATTACTCCAATCCCCGTCCATTTCTCTCTCTTATCCGTAAAATTCTATTCCAAAATATTAAAGATCCCTTCAGCTATTCACTTTCACATAGGTAAGCAAAATCATCACCGCGAAATGTTAACATTAAGAATGTTACCGAGAGAGTTTTTCGATCCTCCACAGACATAAACCGATGAGTCTTTTCTCATTATTAACTACTATATCTAACACTAAATTTCTGTTTATAATGTCTCAAGATTCTTGTATATAAATCATATTAATTTATTTTTCTTATGCGGGTGCTGAGGGTCAATGGCCAAGCTAGAATAAATTAAAAAAAGAAGAACATGACACTGATGTTCTGACGAAGTGTTGTGGACATTGTTTACAACAACCTAAGCTGAAGTCTTAATCTAAGTTTGTATTTAGTAGAAAAGCTGTTGTCATAAAGGAGTTACTCTAAGAAGGGACCACTATGATAGGCCAGGAAACAAATGAACGTCCTATAGCGCGATGACATTGCAAGAGAGTGATGAAGCCAGCTAACCGTAAATGAGCTCACTGTCAAATTGGGTGTATGAACGTAGCTTGCAGTTATATTGCCTCCAGTAAGCAAGGAGTAGCTCTCAAAGTCGGTCCCTCTTATAGTAATCTCTCTATACCACATTGGTTTATTTAATTTAAATGTGTCGCATAACCTCTAATAAACAAATTATAATCTCTCATTGATACAAATTGAGGCTAAGCTCGCTTTGATTTATTTATAGTTCGTGCGCTCTCAAGAAAGTTTTTTTTCATCAAAAACTCATCAGAATAGCCATAAGGAAATCGAGAATACAGCGGGGATTCGGCAAAGTCATCGAAAGCTGCCCATCTAATGAATGAAATCGGAATAGACGGCAACGCATAAATTTAAGACCAACTTTCGAGGCCCGAGTCAATAGAATCTTGGCTGTCCAGGGCACACTGCAACTTAAGGGGAGTTTGATTCGTTCGTTTCGACCGCCATATTGTGACCTTCCCAATTAACCTGGGAAAGGTCGCTTTTGAATGTTCCAACTGCATCTTTCGCCGTTCCATTCAGGTAACCAAGATTCCAAGAACCTCGCTTTTAAACAGTTATACTAGGCGAGCCGTTTAGTTATATTGAATTTCTGAGTTTTAGGATTTTTGACGTGTTGAATTATATGTAGAGGGATCATGTTGTATCTAATTTTACTGCATTGCATAATTTTTTCACCGTATCCTGAAACGACATGTACATGTACTATACTTCGATTTAAACTTAGGCTCTGTTGACGTAAACCAGCTGTTTACGCTGCCATCCAATCGGGAGGTTGAAAGTCACCATAGTGACGTCACAGTAATAGCGTTTAACGACCGATTCTATGACACCGTAACAGATGATGAACTGTCAAATGACGCTATAAATCAAAGTATACACTGAAGGTGAGATTTTTTTTTTTTGAATCCTTACGTCGAGCGAGTTCTTGCGGTAGCCGGGGTCGCAGGAGCAGACGCCCGGCGCAGAGCACACGCCGTTGCGGCAGCCCGACGGGCACGTGGGCACGCACACGTGCGCGTGCTCGTCGCGGTCCAGCTTGGCGTAGCCCGGGCGGCAGGCGCAGCGCCGCTCGCCCACGCAGTCGCCGTTGACGCAGCCCTCCGGGCACAGCGGCTGGCACACGCCGCGCGCGTCCTTGCGGTGGCCCGCGTGGCACTGGCACACGTTCGGCGCTGCCGCACATCCAAGGGACAGAAAATTAAATGAAAAGTATTCATACACAAAACGATAGAATACAATTTAAATACAAAAAAAGGAAAGAAAAATAAAAACAAAAAAATTAAAAAAGGAAAATATAATAAAAATTAAAAACAAAAATTAAGAAACCAATAAAAATTAAAAAGAAAACATTAAAACTAAGAAGCAAATATTGAAAAAGAAATATAATTAAATACAAATAGTTTAAATTAACATAATATAAATAATTTAAATAGTTAAAAATAAAAGTTGAAACCGTAAAAATGATTAAAACAAAAATAAATGACAAATAAAAGAAATCTAGAAACAAACAAACACACACACACACACACGATTGTTTACTACTTAAAGTATTACCGTATTGACTAATCTGTATTTTTATTTTCTCTCGCATCCGTTCACAATTAATAATATAACAATTTTATTAATTTATTAATTATTTATGCACTTTTTATTTTTTTCCTGTTTTTGGTTTTTCTTTCTCAGTTCTTGAATTGACAGAGGTTGCCTGACTTTTTATTTTTACAAAATAAAACAGTTGATGACAAAATATTAAAAAGAAAATTGTTCCTTGTAATTGTACATTATAATTTACTTTCAGTACATGCTTTGTATAACAGTAAACATTTTATAGTTTTGTAGATTCTGACTTTTTTCCACCTAGGTTGCCAAAAACACATACTGTGAGCGGCTGAATTCGATCTGGCTATGTAACTGGTGTGGAAATGCTGCCACCGTGGGGAGTGTAATCCTAGGACCTCTGGTCACAAGCACTGCAGTAACATCAGTTGATGCCCTGAGCCACCTCTGCCGGTGATTTGTGGTTGAGTGTTCCGTGATTATAGAAATGTATTGCATTCCGATCACCACCTCTGTGCACGCGGGTGATCGCAATGCACTTTAAACGCTTCGGTGTCATCGCACTGGCACTTTTGAGCACCCGGCAACATCCGCCTAAATCATGTTTTATACAGTACTATTTACATTCGATTTTCTTTTGAACAAAAAAATGGCCGGTCATATTTTTATACAATGGAAATGGAAATATACGATGACTAGTTTAGCATAAAAACATTAGGTTGAATATTTTTTTTCGAAAAAAATCCGAATAATTTGACCAGCGCCGATGGTGACAAGCTGCTTCCGTGTTCCTTTGTGAATTGGTAGTTAAGTTAGTGTTCAAGTTATAGGTTAATGAATATTTTTTCTGCTACCAAAACCTCTGCCGATTCATTTAAATCAAAAATCATCAATCACACAATAAAAGTTTACGAATCGTCACAACTATAAATTTTGAACATAACGCAAAACCAAACGCATTAAAATATTGTGCGCCATGTGATATTAAACTTCACACATTAACTTCAGAACCTTTCTACGTCTTTATTTATATTTCCAATTTTTGAATAAAAAAACTGTATACTGGAAGAAGCACAGATAACTTTTGATTTGATCTTTGCAAGAAAAAAAGGATGGAGATTGTCTTAAGTAAAACAGACTTAATTAGTAGTTGAGGGCCACATGATAAATATCACTACTGTTTCTTTTTATTTCTTAAAAAAAAACAACAAAGAATAGTTTTTAGTAATCGTTTTCGATGATTCCCTGTGTACTCGCTAGGTCCCCAGAAAAATATTGATGCCCGGAATACGGTGAGGTTGCATGTTAGAGTGCCTGAAAAGGGACTACCGTCATGTTTATACGGTCATTGCACCCCTCACGAGTTCAAGGAAGTGCAGCCTCGATTGTGCCATAAAACCATAAATATTCGGAGCTTTGCGACCTGCATGGCCTCGGGTATGTATATTATATTACCTTGCCACTAACACGAAACTTAAGTATAATATAATGCTACACTCACGGTTCAAGAACAAAAACATCTCAACATTTATGTGGATGAACAGAAAATGAACTAAAATCCAATTTTAAAGGCAGCTAAGTTGTTTAGATATTATTTGGAATACTCTTTACAGAAATAGTGTAAAACATTTAAAATGGAACTTTATTAAATCCGTGTTTACTAAGTAAATTGTTCAAAACATAAGTCACACGGATAAAGAATTCAATCACGCCCTAACTAATCCAATCAAACACTTAACAAGAGAATCGAATGAAGATAATCCCACTAGATATCCTTTTGCAATTCATTTTCCCTGCCATTTCCCTGCCTGAAATTCAATTCGTATTACTTTCATCATGAGTGGAACGAACAATATGTATCTCATGAGCTGCGTAACGCTCCCGATAGGAAGAGTGCTTAAAATTTCAGTTTACAATTTCATTGGTGGTGAGTGTCAAAACTAGCAAGTGCGTAACATGTATGTTTACATCAGATCGAAAAGACAGATCTCTAGTAGTTACAGAGCTAAGGACAAATATGGCAAAAAGTACTCCCAATATTATAATAAGAGAATTAAAAAAAGACCAAGTCTAAACTCAGGGTTAAATCATAATATTGAGTTACATACAATAAATCAATAAAATGGATTCTACTATCCATCTTACTGTTTTTTAATAATTTTATATAGCACTTAATAATTTTATATGGCACATGCCGACCTGGATGGCATAGGTGGCAAGAGCGTGTGCGGACTCCGAGGCCTGGTGGAGTCTGCTGACCTCAGACCGAGAAACCCGCAAGTGTGTCTAGTGTAAATGGTTAATAAGTGTTCTGGTGAGAGACAAAGTCTCTATCCAGCGCGGAGTCTAAATCGGCATTCTCCCGAAACTAGAAAAGTCTACGGAAGAAAGAAAAAAATAGCACTTGTCATGCAGAGATCGAGATAAATACATACCTCAGAGATGGTAAGTTTTCAAAATTTTAGATAGAGTGTTTAGTGCCCGCCATATGGGATTTTAGGTGCTTTATACAGCCTAAGACATTCACAAGTCAAAGCGAATGTAAGCACATATCACATAAGAATATTATTTGAATCAGTCAGACGACAGATGACAACAAAGAAACCCCAGGTATATCATACTGAAAAATGAAACCTTCCTTATAGTGTCCAGGAGTCGAGTAAACGTAGCTGCTTCCGGGCGTTTTACCTGTGCAGTTGCCGTTGACGCAGTCGGGGCGGCAGAGCGGCGCGCACAGCTTGCCCTGAGCGTCCGGCCAGAAGCCGTCGTGGCAGGCGCACGTGAGCGTGCCGGTGCACACGCCGTTGAGGCACGTGCCGGGGCACGTGGCCACGCAGTTGCCGCCCAGGTCGAGCGTGCGGTTGGCCGGGCAGCGGCACGTGTCGGGCGCCACGCACTCGCCGCCGTTGCGGCAGCCCGACGAGCACACGGCCTCGCAGCGGAAGCCCAGGGCGGGCGCCCAGCCGCGGCAGCACACCGGCACCGCCAGGCGCACTGCCTGCACAGCACGCGCGGCGATTGGGCTCGGGCGCGGAGGGAAACTGTAGGAGCTAACGTGCCAACAAACTGACATACTGCAAGCGATTGTTTGCCGACAGACCGACAAACTGCAAGTTCTAGGTTGCCAACAGACCGGCAAACTGCAAGTGCAAATGCTAGGTTGCAGACGACATTCCGGTAAACTGCAAGTGCTAGGTTGACGACATTCCGGTAAACTGCAAGTTCTAGGTTGACGACAGACCGGCAAACTGCAAGTGCTAGGTTGACGACATTCCGGTAAACTGCAAGTTCTAGGTTGACGACATTCCGGTAAACTGCAAGTTCTAGGTTGACGACAGACCGGCAAACTGCAAGCGCAAGTGCTAGGTTGACGACGACAAACTGCAAGTGCTAGGTTGCCGTTACACAAGCTCCAAGTGCTAGGTTGACGACATTCCGGTAAACAAGTTCTAGGTTGACGACAGACCGACAAACTGAAAGCGCTAGATTACCGAAAGAGCGAAAAACTGCAAGCGCTAGGCTACCGACAGACCGACAAATTGCTAGCGTTAGGTTGCTGACTGAACGACAAACTGCAAGCGCTAGGTTGCCGACAGACCGACAAACTGCAAGTGCTAGATTTCCCACAGACCGGCAAACTTCAAGCGCTAGTTGTGGCGGAAGCAGCAACTGTACTTGGATACCGTGAACTAACGAGAATTTACCGCGCGTGCAGCAGACAAGCGCCTCCAAGAGCTACCCAGCGCTTTCCGAAAGTCGCGTTTCCCTCCTCTGCACCCGGGCTGTAATTTTTCACGCCTCGCCACCTCATCGCACCGACGAGCACGTTTCCAGCAGTCGCCGAAGTTTCAGAGTGAAGCTGAGAGCCTTGATACGAAAACTCAAATCCTCATGAACGCAGTAAAATATAAAACCAGTTTAAAATTAATTCTAGGATTTCAATTTATGAATTGTGAATGATGGAGGCAAGAAACAAACAGACAAAGAAAAAATAAAAGCAATTAACAGCATTGATTAAAAAACTAAGAAACAAATCAGTTAAGATCTCCTCGCTTCGCGACTCGGGAATTTATCGACAATTTCCAAAGCACACCTGGTATTACCTGCTATAAACCTTCCATCTGCTTCTGGCTCTTCATCTTTGCACTTCTTCGGGTTCACAATGTTTATAATTATTTAATTATCGGGAAGAATTTGATGGTAAAAAGTACATCGGAAGATATTCACCAGCATACATGAGATTAATTCACTGAATTTATAGGTGTATTGAAAAGTAGATACATAATTTTGATTCAATAAAAATAAAATATGTCTCACGAACCAACTGAATTATTCCTTTTTTCTATATATTCGTAGTAATTTTGTAATCGTAATTGTTCGTTTGGATAAAAGTTATAATATTTCTGATAATATATTGTAAAAAGCTAAACTTACATCATTGAAATTTCTTTTTTAATGGTTTATTAATTTATTACTGTGAGTAATTTCCAACGTCAGTGAAAATGAAATAAACCTTTAATAATAGCAATGGCATTAAAATGTTTGTGTATAATATGGCACTGTACGTGTAAACTGACTCACCGATGCATTTGCTCCAGATGGCACCGTCATATTAGGATGGAAAGCTCCGACAGAACCAGGCCTGAAACAGAATTAAATAATATGTAAATGGTAAACATTTAATTCTATATTACCTTATGAGTAAATAGCTTAAGAGATCACTATCAAAATATTAACAATTTGGAAAATATCCCTTGGATCACTCATACGTACCATACCAAGAAAGCGAATGTAATTTCTAAAAATTGGAAGATTTAAATAGGATTGAAGTCGTGTCTTATGATTTTAGGCTAAATATGAACATTATGCTTACATTACACAAAAAACCTCTACAGTTAAATCTTCAATGACTTCTGAAATACATATCGCCGATACTGCTTTAATTTAAGCGTACATCCATGCTATTGCATATTTACTTCTAATGATTATTTCAGTGTATCTAACAGAGGGAGTTATTTTGGCATATTATTCTTCACTGCTTTATATGAAGATCACTACTGTATTATACTGTATGTAAAGTACTGAAATGACAATGTGACTTGTCATCGGTCAAGAGTTCACTTGCAAGCAATAAAAATTATTATTATTGTTATTTGCGTATCGGTCATTTCTGATCACGCTACACGCCCTTTTCCGAGCCCAGACTTTCTATTCCGGAGAGATATTAACGTGTGTCATTATGGGGATCAGCTTTTCGGCTGTTTCCCTTGGAAAGACAAGGTTGTCAAGCCTTCACTTATGAATTACGAGGTAATAGGATCATGATGAGAGGTGATCCTGAGCTTTTTTAACCATCCCAGCATTTGCCTATAAGACCGAGGGAAATCACGAAAACCCACGAAAACCCAAGTCAGGATGGCCAGCCCGGGGATCGAAGTCAGTATGCTACGCATTTAGCCACTTCTCTCAGTATTATTAATTATTATTATTATTATTATTATTATTATTATTATTATTATTATTATTTATTATCATCATTATCATCATTATTATTATTTCATACAAAAAGTTCGTGAGTTTCCCCCAAGAGGCCCTGTACGAAGAGGTGGAGTACTGACGCGCGGTACTCGGTGCCGCAGACGCCCGGCTCGCTGAGGAAGGCGGAGCCGTTGGAGGTGCGCGCCAGGCGCTCCCGCTCCGCCAGCAGCGTCGCCAGCGTCAGGTTGGCCGGCGCAGCCCGCTGCGTCGTCGCGCCGTCGCCGCCGCCACCGCCGCCCTGCGCAAACGCACCCACGCACCTCACACACTGCACGCGCGCTAGGAGGAGCGAGGCAGGGGAAGATTGGGATCGGGGGAATCGTGTTATATAACATACATACTTATTATATTGTACATTTTTTGTAGTGTGTATTAGATACTATACAATATTATGTTTATTAATAATTAAATAATTATAATATACATATCATTTTAAATCAATTTTGCCAAATAAAGAACGAAAACTCTAGGCCTTTTACATTCTTAAAACTTAAGCTCTTTCGATCCGCCTCTGAGGCAAGGTGTGAGCTAAGACAGAACCACATTCGTATTGTACCGACGGAAGTAAATTCTGGGCCTCGTACTCTATATTATTTTTCCTCCACACTAAACGCTGACCATTCGTTCCAAAAACGGAGAATTGGCTCTCATCTGAAAAGATGATATTTTTGGTAAATGAAGAGAGCAATCAAGTTTCAATAAATTTATTTTTTATTCTTCGTTTCCTGACGCTTAAAACTCAAATAAGAGTTATTATTGAGTGAAGAAAACAGGTGTCCATTCACTTATTACACTAACTGTAAATCTTTTCTTGAGTATGTACGAGGGATAGTTTTAAACAATATTCGCTTTGCAACAAAAATGAAAGACATAACACAATTTCTTTGAAAAAATCGTTATTTTTTATGTTCATACTCTTATCTAATATACTTCATAATTTCCTTGCACTTTTCTATAAGAATAGAGTTCTTGGATATCCTCTTCGCTGATAATGATTGATAATGATTTTTTAATTGTAATGATAATGATTTTTTTACATTTGTTCCACTTTTTCATTGGAGATAATTTTATATGTAATTAATCTTTTAATATGTTATAATTACGATGACCGGTTATGATGAAAGAAGGTCGACGAGACGGCGCGATTCATTATCGATTTCTCGAAGACCATTGAGTAATCACCCCATTTTCGGACTTTTTTGTCACTCACTACACTGCCACCATATCAAGCTCATTTCATGTTTCTTGCTCTTAAGAACTGTGCGATTGTTTTAACTGGATGACTGTTCGAATATCAACAGTGGGCGGTACACTCGAGTTTCTGAAACATTTTGAACTCTCATTATAAAGCTTTCTGACTTAAGCCGTGTATACATATGGCGTCGGATTCTGCTCACAAAGTGCAAACTTTCACCCAGTATTAATATGACAAAGTTAGCCTTAAAAGCCGTAACAATTGCCTTAATAATTTTATTCCCTGATGCCCTAAAAACCCTGATGCCCTAATAATTTTGTTCTGAAAAGAGAGAATTTTCTGTTCAGTGCTGTTTGAGCTTACGAAGTACTCTGATTCCCTTCTATTTACATGTTTTAGTAATAAGGTATTTTAATAATAACCGAGGTAAGTTCTCATTCAGAGGCTTTATAAGTGAAGATGTGGTGTGATAGCCAGGTGACCTAGGTCAACAGTTGACGAACATTACGAACCGAGTTCACCTTGGTGTACTTCCTCTGTACATGACAAGCCATTTCGCCACCAAGGTCTGACATCCCGGAAAAGGAAAGAAAGAGAAAGTTATAAGGGTATTTGTAGCACTGGTATTCCAGCGCTTAAGATTTCTGTACTAGTTTTCTTAACATGTTCTTTCTTGCAAGTGCAATAATTTGGAAAAATCAAAACAAAAAATTGTGAATTTCTTCTTGAAGGATTGAGCTGTCAACTAGACCTCAAAATAATTGTTTTGAAATGTGTTATAAAATGTTTAATAAGTAATTAAACAAGTGTTACGAATGCAATGGTATAATAAGTTGAGTTAAAATCTCCGAGAGTTTCTCCGTTTCAACTACTGTTGGACTGTCGTGCAATGTAAGAAAGTTATTCATATGATACCGTCGCAATATTACGAAGACATCAACTTAACGCAACACTAGGTCACTGGTATAACACGTAATAAAGACATTGCAAAAAAGCTCTTATAAAACTATAATAAAGTAGAACATACAGTAGTGTTATTACAAATCTTTACAACTATGAGAGGCTACATTAGTATTATGATAAATTATAAATAAAACAATTTTTTAAACTCAGTTAGCCTGATGGAGGTCAGTGTATAATAACTCAAAACATTGAGGTATGTTCGTTAGTTTCATTAATCCCTTGTTCACGAATTTTTCATCTAATATACGAAAAATTAAAAATATTAATTTTTAGAAATGTGATTGTCTACTGTAATGAGAATCTGAAAAGATTAATTAATTTTATAACGACTTAGAAAGTGTACCAGTTCGTAACAAAACATCAGAAAGACTTTCTCTGTTACTAACACAAGCTATCTCATGCAATCTTCGTAAGTTTTAATGAAAGCGAGAGTGTTTTAACGGACTGTAGATTCCATGTTCATAATCTCTTATTCTGGCAGAAAGAAAGAAGTTTTTGAAATAACTAGTGGCCTGCAGCAGAAGATGTTGAAGAAATCTGTATTTCCAAAATGCATTTCCAAAACGTAGTAATCACAAGCACACTCAAGAAAAACAAATAAAATTAACCTCGTATAAAGCTGCAATAAATTAAATATTTTAATCAAAACTGTCGTCAAGAATAATAAAATCTATCTTCACAAATACTTCGATAACAATGTATACTATTCACGGATTCAATGAACAACAATTCTTTACCACGAATATAAAAGAAGTTTCTGTTCCATAATGCTATACGTGGAAATCAAATATTTAATGGCGAGTGAATTTTCTTGGAGCCTTGCTGTCGCATGACGTAAGGTATGTGGTTAGCCGTGACGCATTGGGTTTGAGAATTCATTCGAAACGCACAGTTGAGAATATGAGAATAACTAACAGATAGGCGCACAGTGCAAAGTGCGTATATTGTACTTCTTTCCAAACACCGCATACAGTTTTTACGGTTCTTTGACGAAATAAATCAAATTAAGTCAAATCAAATATTTGCATTTTTTAGTAAAAAAATGGGGGGGTTGGGGTTTTCCCCTCCGAAATCAAACGAAACCATGGTCTCACATGGCCGGAGATTGCATAGCGATTTTTTTTATTTCTGAGCATAAATTCAAAAAATCAATCTAAATTCAAATTCAAAAATAAAGTATCTAATTACTTATTTCAAATGACATAAGTATTTAGATATTTGATTTCTGAATTTAACACCCCTTAAAATTGCAGCAGGCAAAAATATTATAATATTAAATAAGAAAAAATATATATCTTCGTTTAGACAAAATATTAACTTATTTTAGATGGATTATAATATTTTTATCTGTAGTATGATTTAACAGGCTATTAAAATAAAGAAATTTATAAAATAAAGCTTTTCTGTAACCGCTGATTTCGTCTTAAAGCCTGCAATATCTGTCAGAATAAAATACGACAGGTCATCTAAGGTTTCATATCACAAAGCGAAGCCAACGACTGATAAATTATGACTATAAGTTTGATCGCAAATGAAACCGCTCTAATAAAACAGTGACTATTGTCATAATCAATGCATACCCTATAACTGTTTGGAGGCAAGTAGAAAATGTAATCCACATTAAATATTTCTTTTCTTCTAAGAAAACAACACAATTATGTTGAGAATATATCCATTGATGCTTCAAATTGAACGAGTTCTAACTGCAATGCTACATTTCCAGACCGTTGAACAGTTTCATTGGCAAAGACATAATGATAATAAAGAGGTATCATATGGTAACGTTCAAAGAAATGTATGGCGTGGTCTTCACAGTCGTGTTCGTTCGTAGTTGATATTCAATCGATTCGTTTCGCCTTTTGAGGGCAGGTTATATTTAAACCAGCCTAAACTCTTAAAATAACTAAAGAGGTTATTCCATGACAGTTTGGGCCAAATGGCACTATCTCACGAATAGTTGGACAAATGAACAATATTTGAGTGGAAAACATTTTATATCAGCTTTATTATCATTGGTATTTCTTACAAATTTTCATAACACCATCTATAATTTACCGGTACGTAAGATAACGTTTTGTTTATTAATGTGTATTTCAAAGTATAGAAGCCAGAAACGTCGTCATCAAAATAATTTTTGCCAATTTACAATAGGACGATGAAAGGTAAATTGCATGTAGATATCGAAAGGAACTGAAGAATGATTGTAATAGCGGTACCACCATACTTTTTTTAGACTCAATGATGAACACTTCAGGTACTTTCATTTGTACTGAACGGCAGTAAGCATTGTACAGCATAACTGTCTTACTTTATAGTTATGCAAATTTGTAATTTTACCCTTCTAACTTGAAGCGACGCTCGTTCATCGTAATATTTTAAACGGACAGCAGCCACTCAATGATCAAATTGAATAAATAACTTTCAGCTTTCACTTACTTTCATGATTTCTGTGTGAACAAAATGCATTAACTCGCTTTCTATTCATTTAATAATGATTAAGAAATAAAACTATCAAAATTGAATTATATTTTGTAAAATCTGTAGAAATGATGTCTTTGAGATTATTTCAAACCCACATACATGACACACTACGTGCTTGTACATAATGTATCCTAAATATTTGCACCTGAGTGATGAACATAATTCACTGAAAATAAAAAAATCTCCGTCCAGCACCTAAGTCATTCTAGTAGATATTTATTTAGAAATCAAGATTTTCACAAAACAATCTCCACGTAAAAGTACATCAAAATGTATAATTTACAAATAGTTGGACTTCAAAGTTATCAAGTTAAAGAATGTGGAATTAAAATAGTCAATTACTACTATTTGATCCCTCATTAATGAAAATTAATAATTAAATATTCAGATTTACACTACATATAAATTTTTTCTTAATATTAATGTACACAATATTGAATACAAAAAACGAATAGATACATATGAAAGAACTTAGCGACAAAGACTAGAAGCGAAGTACTAAAAGATATTTAGATATTCGAGACTGGTTGTACAGTCTTTTTCTAATGATAATAGTTTCAAATTAAATTTCTATAAATTAAACTCGCACACGTTTTATGCTACTCGAAGTGGCGAGCAAATCATTGTTTACTTTCTTCTGTTTTGCTAGTTGTGTAGTACGTACGTGTGAATGACTCCTTCGAAGTATTCTCAGGGTCATAACGATTAACAGCTTATGTTAGTTACCTTCCAAAATTAAAATTAAAAATACAATGATTAGGCAGCTCAATGAAATTTGACACTTCATATACATATCCATTTATTCAGAATTACCAAATGTTATGCATTAAAAGCAAGTCTATGTTAACAATCTCCGACAAATGAAACTGAAGTTTAGAATAATTAGGGTAAAATAACACGATCCTGTTGAAATCGTATCAGTTCACTTTATTATGTGTATGTGATTTATTGCAAGTGAATTGTATATTGCGTGGGTGAAACATAGGTGATACAATTAATGTAAGCAAATGCACTCTTAAGGAAAATCTGGTAAAACGGGTATTTATTCTCATATTTCCAAATGGACAAATGTAAATTCGAAACAAAAGTGTAATGAAAAGGTGACATTCTCATAGTTGATACTAATACCCAAATTTCACAATTCACAAACAAATATCGATAAATCACATTTTCGCCATAGCTTCGACAAAGACATTTAGAAGAACTATATTAAGAGAATATTTTGAGTAGCTGCTAAGAACATGGTGTGGTTCTTTGGTTATCAATATTAATATTCACATGTTGGTACAAATTTATTGCTTCAAACGTTAAGGGTGAGAAGACATCCATTGTGAAAAACATAACAATGCTTCCTTCATAGAGTCAGGCAAGAGCATTGGTAAACAATGTTGCACGAACCCGATTTATTCGTCTCGCATGTCAAAAGAGAATGTTTTCAAGATTCAATAGAAATTAGAACGCTAATCAGTGATAACTGAAATGTGCATTCGCAATCATGTGTTCATTGATTTGTCATTTCGACTTTCCACCTAGAAACACCTCAAACGATTTAGTTTCTGACATACAGTGATTATGGTAACCAAGAACATTACTCAATTTAGTATTACTATTACTGGTTGGTAGTTTTATGATTATTTTAAATTTTGGTGAATTTAAAGATGTCGTAGACAATCTACGTAATAGCTTAGAGATTGGGGATAATGCATGTGGTGAGACAAACCTCAACTAATCAGGGTGCTTCTAAGAGATTTATAAGTCACACATGTGGTATAAACGAGATATAAATGGCGTTTTTACAACAAAACAGGAAGTTATATTTCGAAGCCTATCTAATTTTATTTGGGGTTAAACAAATCACACACAATTTGTATTGTACACAAATCTACAATAAAAGCAGATTTGGTTCACGTTTCTATCAAGTATTTTTTATGAGAGGAGAAATCAGAACATCTAATACTCCAAAGCTCTAAAATGTTGGAGAAGTGTTAATTGTTTGTAGTTTAAATATTTTCTCGTTTTTCTTCTTTCATGAAGCAAAAACGATTCTCCTGGAAATACGTTATGTCCAGAAAGATTTTACGATTCCAAAACACACACACACACACAAACTACATGAACAACTTGGCATCTCACAACTCTCAAAGCCGCACTAATTGTTAAACAAAGCACTGTCATTAGGTCAGCGCCCACTCACCGTGAAGAGCTTCTTGAGCTTGTCGAAGACGCCCGCGCGCGCGGGCCCCCCCCCCCCCGCCAGCAGCAGCGCCAGCACGAGCAGATAGCGCGTCCGCTCCATGGTCTCGCGCAGCACTGCTCACTGCTCGCTCCTCCGCGCCGCTCTCCGCTGCGCCCCCCCCCCTTCTCCCGCCCCTCGCTTCACACCCCTCGCGCTCGTTATCGCGTTTAGCGTCGCTTCGCCTCCGCCGCTTTCGCGACTCGCCGGCCCGTCGCGTCGCGTCGCGTCCCTCCGCCCCGCTCGGCTCGTGTCGAGTCGTCCTGGCCCGCCTCGTCCCGGCGCATTCCGTTCCACCCCGACCCCCCTCTCACACAACTGCCGCGACCCCTTTCTGCCTCGTCTTCCCCCTTCCTGTCTCGCTCCGACGACGTGCCTCCTGGCTCATCACTCTCGTCCTTTCTCGCCTCGTCTCGTCCCGTCTCGTCTATCTCGTCCCGTGTCGACCTGTCCCGTCTCGTCCTGTCCCGTCTCGTCCCATCGCGTCCCGTCTCGCCTCTTCGCGTCTCGTCCCTTCTCGTCTCAACCCGTCTCGTCACGACTCGTTTCGTCTCGTCTCATCTCGTCTCGACTCGTCTCGTCTTCCGTTTCGACCCGTTCCAATCAGTTTGATAACGTTTCCGCCGAACCATCTCGTTCCGTTCTATTTCTTGTCTATTGGTTTCGGTCTCTCAATCTCTCCTGTTTTGTATGTGTTCCTTTTCTCCCAAACGACACCTCTTGACCTGTACTGTAGCCTCCTGCCCTGCTTGGTTGCTGGGATTGTACCCTCTCCTTCATTCTCAATTTGCATCGCTCCTGGAATGTTTCTCACGATCAACCGACATCTTTTTTCGTCTTCCTTTGTCATATCTGGCTCCGAGACTCTTAATTGATTATTGTCTAACTGTTCTCTACCCCCCTAGTATGAATCATCACACATTACCGATGTTTACGTCAGCTATTCTTGAATTTCCTCATTTTTGCCTTTCTGTATATCTCCCTCACTTTTCGTGTATAGTCGTGTTTGCCCAAACCATTTCGAAAAGTCATTCATTACTTCCGGGACCGGCTCTTGCCACGCAGACGTGGTTCACCTCTTCGTCACAGCATCGAGACAGGTATTAATGGAGGAAATGTACCATAGGGGAAATATATTACACTATTTCCTTGATCCAGCTGGGTTAGTTCACCACCACCTCCCGAGAGAGAGAGAGAGAGAGAGAGAGAGAGAGAGAGAAAGGAAGAAAGAAAAAAAGGAAGAAAAAAGAAAGAAAGAAAAAAGGAAGAAAAAAGAAAGAAAGAAAAAAGGAAGAAAAAAGAAAGAAAGAAAAAAAGAAAGGAAGGAAGAAAGAAAGAAAAGAAAGAAAAGAAAGAAAAGAAAGAAAAGAAAGAAAAGAAAGAAAAGAAAGAAAGAAAAAATGGACTATACTCACGGGACTAGCTTTAATAGTGATTTACGCGGGACTAGCTTTAATAGTGAGATGAATTACTAATCAATCGATCAATATTTACTTTGGTATAGCCTACTCTACCCCGTCCCACCTCGCCCACATTTCCGAACGGCATGCAAACATGCTCTTTGTTCGCTTTTCGTACTATCGATCACTATGCATTCTATCAGCACTATTCCCTCGTTCTGTTCCCCATCTCCATTCGACGTCTTCTTTGTTCCTGTAGAGGTTCTTGATCTGTTCCACACTCCATCTAGTGCCCTCTCGTCTATCTAAATATTTCATGTTGGGATCCTGGCTACATAACCATAACTGCACAATGTCTCCACACTACGTAGGAAGTGTCTAGCCTATTTTTAGAGCAATCGTAGTCCCTGTGGAGTCGAAAATGACCTCAAACACGAAGACAAAATTGACTTTTTCGTCGTTGTCAAATTGTAGGAAACCTTTCTCATAAGACCAAATACGAAACGTAACTTACTCAAAATATTTTTAACTATATTATTCATTAAAACTAGTGAAATTATATCTTAGCGCAATTTGTTGTCAAACACTACTAATTATTTAATTAATATCATACGCAGGTTTAGTACTACATCGTAAGGACAGGGCAGCCTAAGAAAACAAATTAATTATTTAGAGAAACGTTCCCTCTTTTGTTATTGTAAGTAATTGTAATATTGAAATAACTTAATATTTCGTCATCTCAACATTTTATAACAGATTGCAGCTGCAAAATTTCTCAAAAATATCGTGTAATTTTAAAGCTAATGATATATTAAATTTTAAAATGTGTAGTCGGTTCTCGTGACTTAATGGGAGATGAATGCAATCTTAACTTAAATCACCAAAAAGATAATATATCATTTTTTTATGAAAAAAGGAACAAACATCAACTGTGGGTGACGATTGCTTAGGATACGATCATTTGAATTTTGCATATTTTTCATTTCAAATTTTTAAGTTATCCATATTCTTTAGTAATGAGAATAAAATCCACGAAATAAAAATAGAAGAAGAATTCGCATTGAAGAATTACTCGACTCCAAGGAGAAGGCACGTCCTTCCCAGATTTCTCCAGTGGATCCGCCCCTCAGTAAAGTCTAATTAAAATTTTATTGCGTTTGTAGTTCCAAATACATACGACATTTTTGAAACAATTGTTTAAATACTCTGATGTTTAGTGGATATCACCAGAAGATTATTAAATCGGGCAAACACTTTATATCTTGGAATCAAGGTCGTTTTCTTGCTCATAAGTGCAATTGTCAAATGATTTACGTTCAATTAAATAGGCATTATGACATCTTATCTTATGTGATTGATGCAGTTTATAGAATGATTTCCACGAAATGGGTCTTATGATTCTGGGTGTTGGTGCAATACCATTTTAAAGTAATCGGGTATCATTTCTTTTAACTTGATATAAAATTGCACTTTATAATTCTTTTAATGCAAAAACTTTAAATGCCTTCTCGAGAGAAATAATAATAAAAAGAAAATAACTACTAAGTAATTTTGTCAACCTGTAGCAACATTTCTCAGCATTTCAGCTGCATAATTTATTATTTTTTTCGATTACAAAAAATGTAGTTGAAATTTAAGTTTACCTTCCCCATTAATAATACTCACATCACCTACGCTTGATATTTTTCGGAGATTTCCGAGTTCAATGACCTAATATTCATTTCTTGTATCCGCTGTCACACGAAAACAGTATATAAGCACTGAAATCAGTGAGGTTTTGACTCATCTGAAATATTATGTAATAATTAGTGAGATGATTTTTATGCTCTAAAAATCTTGAAATAGCTTTTAAAAATATGCTTTTGTGACGTAAAAATTCTTAAATATGTACTTTAATATGCAAATAAAATTAACAATATTTCATTCCCTGTAAAAAACCTTTCTTGATAAAATTCAGGAAAAGCATGCTTGGAATGAAAATGTATATCTTTGTGCAAACCTAAAATAATCTACCTCTCTTTTCAGGAGAAGTAATTTAAGTAAATATTCTCCTTAGTATGAGTTGTTAAATTTCTTGTGCCTGATTAAAAAAAATATGATATCAAGAAATACCTTACATTTGTAAAAGTATTTTATCATCTGTAGAAAAGAAAAAAGTTTTCTGAGAAGTTTTTTCTAATCAATGAATGCTCACAAATAAATAGAATCTATGAAAAGGTGAAACGATTTAGAGATAAGTGTTCAATATGAAAAATATGCGCCTATAATTAAACGAAAATGCGCCAAAAGGAAAAATAGGCCAAATATGCACTAACATATTAATCTATATAGCATCCAATTCTAACCAAATGTCAAGAAATTTCACTTAGCTATGACAAATGAGGCAACAGGCAAAAATATGCGAAATAATTGAAATCCGCTCCCAAGTAATAATCATGTACATTATTTGGCAACTTGGGATCAAGTAGAGAATGTAGATATAAGGATTTAAATAGAGTTTCCTTGTGTACACGAGTATGTACTAAGTCTAATTTCGCTAGAGGATCGAGTATCTATGACAGCTACCATTATCTAATTTTACTTTTCACAAACAAGTTACGTCGCGAACTAGAGCACACATTTGGAACAGAATTCCGAGTAGCGGTAATAATTCATTGACTCGCCGACGCCTACGTGGAAAACTTTGACATCTTGAGGAGATCCTTCCACGAACTTCAGTGAGTCAGGGTCGTCAACAGCTTGTTTGTGCCTACGCGATCTTCGAGGCCATTAACAGGGAAGACAACACTCGCAACTACAGATAGCCTGCGACGCTCACCGGTAACAAAGCGATAACTCCCAAACCGTAGTTGTGGTTTTCTTCATGGGGCGTCATACACATAGTGAGGTAACTAGGTTACTTAGAAACGAAGGTAAAGAAAATTACAGAATGGCACAGACTTTCCTTAACTAGTTAGTTTTCTAATCTCTTTACTCTGACGTACCCTCTTCCCGGCTGCTACCTATTGCCGGCTATCGACAGGAAAAGAGGTAGAGGGAGAGAGAGAGAGAGAGAGAGAGAGAGAGAGAGAGAGAGAGAGAGAGAGAGAGAGAGAGAGAGGGAGAGAGAGAGGGAGATAGAAGGGGAGAGAACGAGGGAGAGAATTTTGAAAAAGGAAAATATTAAATTGATTTCATATTGAACTTCCAAACTATATTTGAATGGATGAAAGCCAGAACGGTATAAGTGACATTTTATAAATTCTGAGAAAACGTGTTTATTTTAGGCAATTTTTTTAAGGCATTGTATTTGCGTGGTGTAAATGAACAACTGAAACGCCGTGGTTTTAATGACGGAAAAGCACCACGTCTTGACAATAATGTTGACTTAAATAAACAGATTTCTTAGAATTTACAAAATGTCACTTATACTGTTATGGAGTCGTAGGCTTCCGCGGCCAGAGTCATGTGCGTGATCTTGGCTGTCCGGGTGACACCGCGTCGAAGGCTGTGTTGCCGACGTTCCGACCATCTTGCCATGGAGGAAGACCACAGGATGGTCGAAACGTCGGCAACACAACCTTCGACGCGGCGTCACCCGGACAGCCCAGATCACGCATATACTATTATGGTTTTCACGCATTCATTTAATTGTATTTCTTGAAATGGTGGAAGCGCTGGAAGATTAACCTCTTTCCTTTCGGCTCTGTAGTTTCATTTAAGAAAAAGGACTAGTAACAAACCGGAAAAAGG